CTGCATCATGTTTGGAGAACAGTGAGCCCACTGCTCTGTGGGCTCCGGTCTGACAAACTACTAATGTAGTCTTATTGATCTGGGGATCCGAGTCTTGCTTTAAGCTGGGACAGTGTTTATTTTTCTCATCTAAATAGAGAAGAGCCACTAGTGCTTTAAGCTGGGACAGTGTTTATTTTTCTCATCTAAATAGAGAAGAGCCACTAGTGCTAGATGTTAATGCAACTCGAAATCAGTTGCAAAGGTATGCACCTAGAATTTAGCTAAAAATACCCTTGCGGGTACGCATGCCACAGGCTTGGATTATTAGCATTAGATGCATTAGCACTCCCCCAGAATCTCAGTGCAAGGTTTAAAGAAGTGAGGCTTCCACACAGATGATCTCTTTAAGGAGAAAGAAAACCTAATGTTTTTTTTTTTAACTTTAAGATATGAGGTGTCTTGGGTACCTATCTGCATCCAAAAGATGTTAATAGGATGGGTGCTGTAGGGGCTAGTTGGAATAGCAGTACAGAGGAAGCAGAGAAAGGTTCATTTTTTTTTTTTTTATTATTCTTAACAGTCTATTTGTGGTATTCATTTGAAACAGTCCTGTGGTTTGCTTATCTTACTCTTGATGCCTGTCTTCTGGTACCAGAAGGCACATCCAGACAGCAGACAGAAGTCTTTGTACATATACGTGCAGTGTCTGAAACTTTGCCGAAAATATATCATCTCTTGTAAAGGCTAATACAAATCTGAAGTTGGAGTTTAGTTCTAGGCCAGAGGAAGGTGCCAGTAGGCACTCTGAGAAGATGGTTCAGGATAGTGTGACAAGAAATAATTTGAAGACTCAGGTGATCTTTTTGATTTTTTTTTTTTGCTTTGGCTTTTTTTCCCTCTCCTAAGCAAATGGTTTAGTTTTAGTAGTTCTGTGTAGAAATAATGGAAACTCAAGTAAAGAGCACAGTGTTAAGGGAGGAAGGGAACAAACTGCCATTGCTTCCAGTATGTATGCTCGTGCTGTGGGAGCCATCATCAGACAAAAATATGCTGTCAGCTCTTTGCCACCCACGTACCTCAAGATTCATGAAGTGAAGGAGACTGTCATGTGGTGGCAAAGGCCAAATTATCATAATGTGGGTGTTAAATTTCTGCCCCAGAATACTCTATTCATGTTGTGTTTTGAAGTTCAGTATTTGTACCTGCAAAACCATAACCTGCAAGAATGGAGGAGTTAGGTGTCCGAGTGCTGTGTGTCTGTGACCACCCACAGTTTGTGGGCAGAAATGCTCTTTCTGTAGGTGGGGGTGTGTGTTTTTCAAGTATGTGTTCTTTTGTTTCCGTATCTTCCTTCAAAGAGTGACATTTACCTCTGACTGCATTTCTAGTGTAGGATGTGCAGGACTGTGCTACATTTACATCTCTTGCATGATGGTTTGCCAAACCCTCAGACTGTATAAAGTGGTGTAATTCCACTGAAATCAAAAGTATGTTGGCTAAAACCAGTGGAGAGCCTGAATTCACTAGTTAGCAAATTACAATCTATGTGAACTTCTGGAATATTCTCCCAGAATTGTTCTGGAGATGTATGGATATCTTCCTGAAGGGGCTGCACTTCGCTTACGATGTTCTGTAGACCACAGCTGGCTACTATCTTTGCAGCACTACTTTTCCCTGTTGTCCACAATTACAACCTGAAGGTCTGTCTGAAAGTTCTTTTAGTTCTACTATCTGTTTAGCTGTTTGTGTTTCCTTAGTCCGCAGGACAGTGGAGGCAGTAATTTCATTTTTTGTCAGTATGTTAACCAGGGGCATATCGATACAGGATGGTGAACTGCATGGCATCTAAATGTAAATAGATCATCTTGGACTCTAGGCTTGTTATGGCTCATTATTTGGAGGAGAACACAGTAATTAGCACAGGGTGTACTTTATGTTAATTAGGAATGTTTTACAGATCAGATGGTGATGTTGACTTTAGAGGGCAACCACCTGGACTCAGCTCCTGCTAGCTAAAATTAATATTTGTGTATCTTTCTTTTTTTTGCTTCAGTGTAAAAAGCCTATGATAAAATATTTTAACTGTTTAATTACTAAGTAGCATTTCCAGGCTATCAAATAACTTAATAGCATGTGATTATTGGGATAGCTTGCCATTAACTACAGGTGATATCACAGTTGAGATAGTGTATGTATATTGCAGTTTATTTTGAGTGAAAATGCCCCTATCTTTTTGGCCAAGTGAATGCTAATTTCCAGGTACCTCGCCTTTTTGCCAGGCTTATTCTGAACTCTGGTATCATACTGTTGTGGTAGCTAGTCCGTTTTGGACTTATCTTTCATTGTAAAGATGTAGAGTGGCATTTCTAGTAGAGAATAACAAAAGCAAATAAAAAAACACTGCACAGAAAGTTACGCTTTTAGATCTCATGGTAACATATTTACAAATTTGATAGGTAATTATTTTGTTAAAAGACAAAAAAAAAAAAAATTAGGGCTAGCTTGGGTGCAACTGTATCTCATGAAACAAAATCAGGAAAGGTCAGTATATGCACTGTACATGCTTGTTCTGCCTGCAGAGCTAGTGGATTCAGTTCTGTTTTATTCGTCAAGTATAGACAAAATTTGTGTTGTGATTCATGGTTTTTGTGGATTTGATCTCCTATCCCTGGATCTTTCCCTATATTTTTTCAGATGTAAACCTACAAGGAGTCTCTACTTAATTCCTGTGGAATTATGACCACAATACTGTAATCAATGATGTTGCAAAAATTACATAATTATTTTTTTTAAAAAAGGCAAGTGTTGCATTTTGGGGGATGAAAGAACCTACTTCAAATTAGGAAAAAACTTGTGGACGCTAATGTATCTGTGGAATAAAGTTAGATAAATTTAAATGTGCTAACTGTGTGGTGCCATTACAAATGCTATTTTTGGCTGAAAATGATCAGCAGTTCCTTGTAAAATAGGGAGACATCAGACTATTTCAGCTAGCTTTGGCTGAGCTGCTTGGAACGCAGTCTGCATTTCTGGCACTTGTGCTAAAAGAGGAAGCTCAGGAAGACTAATTTTTTTTAAAGAAGTTGAGAGAAAATAATGCAGAGCTAAGTAGAAGAAAGGGGGGGAGATACAGATACTAATCTGGAGTGGATGATAGCCTTAGAAAAAATAAATATCATTTATTTAGGAGAAGGGGGTGATCAGCAAGAAGGAAAATATGGTTTTCATGTCAAAATTATAGTATTGCTTCTTCCAGTGAAAGACACATGACTGGAATGTAAGATATAGATATCACTTCTAGTTCAGATATAGACTACATCTATATTTAACTTCTACCGTATTTCTTCACTTTACTCTCTGTAAAGCAAGAAACATTATTGTGATGATTTTAGGCTGCGCTGGACAGTGTAATGTTTTCATTTTGCTGCAGTCCTGAATCACCTATGGTTTTCATGGTATTCGTTGTGTAGTAGTTTGAAAAGTGATATTGAGTGTCTTTCTGTGCTTGGTAAACAAGAGTTAGAGGCTTGATACAGAAACTTGGATTTGATGCTTTCACCAATTTTGCTCCAAAGACAGAAAAAATGTCTGGAGTTAGCTAAAACTTCAGTGATCCAAACTTAACAGCAACCACTTGGTACTGCCTCTCCTGTTTCAAGCACAGCGTTGTGGACACTGGAAAACTGTGATTTATCTCTTGTATGGAAAGTATGTTCCTTCTCCTCCTCCTTTGCTGCTTTGAAACTGGTGCTCCTATTATGTCAAGGTCCATTGCGTTTGCTGTAACTTTGATATGCTTGACCTAAAAATATTGCTGTGAGTGAATTATTTACAGTGACATCAAGGAGCAATTTTCTAGAAGGTCTCTATAGCCTGCAGATACAGTATTGACTATGGATGTATGATACTAACAAAAAAAAAAACCAACAGCCCTGAAAATGACCAAGGAACTTCCCACAGTATTTCACAGCTACTGTTGCTGAATGGGGATCGCTTCTGCTTCCTTATGTAAAGGAAGCATGTGAAAAGCAGTGTCTCTTGTCAGGTGTGGTATTGCTTTGCCCATGAGCATCCTGTAAATTAATGGAGTTACTAAATTATTAAGTTGTATGAAATAATGTATATTTGTACCCTATGGAGGTTCTTAATCTTGATGTGTAAATATGATTAAAATCACTGACACAACTGATATAAGGCAACAATATTGTAGATATCTTTTAACAGGTAAAACATCTGCGCATTTTGAGAGAGTGCCATCTCGCCTCCCCGCCTACCCTGTAACTAAACTTCTTTCTCTTGCACTGGATCCTGTGTCCCTATAACAACTGTATTGTTCAACAATTATCAGCTGCAGTATGGTTTATTTTTGTATTTTCTTCTTTTGTGCTTGAAGGTGATTATGTGCCAGGATGCTGGTTCTTTCCACTGCTGTGAAATTCCACAAACTTCAATAACATCTTCACTGTTTATAAATGCATAACACAACTAGTAGTCGCTTTAGTAAAAGTAATAAGTGCAAAAATAAGACAAGAATGAAGTAGCTGCAACTTAACTTGAAAGTTTGTCCTTATATATTCTATCTATAACTTGCTTTTAATATGATATGTATATATAATTTGATAGTTATTCAAGTTCTCATTGCTGTGTAGAAATGAGTGAACTTCAAGATAGAGCTTAAGGTTCTCTATGCAGTGTTGCTGAGAAGTCATGTATCCATAGCCACCCCTCCTGTTACTACTTAACTGCTGCCCCTGACCTCAGTAGACTCTGTGGATTCTTTGCTAGTAAATATCAGAATGAAAAAAATATTTTTCCCAGCCATTGCTTTTTAAATACTGTTTTAACAATTCCAGGTATTTTTAAAAGTTCATTCACATGCCTCTCTTTGAAAAACAGAGTTTTAAAATAAAAATATAATCTTCATGTGATTTGATGACTGATCTCTTTCATTATTTAAATAGTTAGCTACACTGTTAGTATACAGTTCACGAAGCAGGTACAGATGTTTCCTCCCATGATAGCCCTGATGGTTGTATTCTATTCCAGTGCTGCATGGTGAAAACTGCATATGACAAGCAAGGACAGTGAGCTAGAGAACTGCATAACTGCAGTGCTGAAGTTAATGTGTAAATAACCAAACTGAAGTATTGTTAATAGACCGCAGCTTTTTTAAGAAGAAAATAGGAACGTTGTGTGATTGCCTAAATGTTAGAAACAATTCTATCTATCGAAATGGTAAATGGTGCTGTGTGAAGGCTTGCACTTACCTTGGATGACTTCTGAAAGGTAGAAATGTAGACTGGGCTCTACTTTTCCAATTAAATTAAACAAAGGTTGTAAGGAAATAAGGACAGAGCAGTGAGCTTTAATTATACTTTTATTTTTTCATTAGTGATAGCAATACTGAGTGTGACACAAGTACCCAAAGTTTAGAGTAATTTTACAATTTAACTAGTGTTTGTTAATTACCAGGTATACATCTATTTCTGTAATCGGACCATTAGAAAAGGCAAATGTAGAAATGCTTACTGTCTGATACCATTTATTTAGGTGCATAAGATCACTGTCATGTAAAACTACTGAATTCTTTATTTGATCTATTTTGTCCATGCTTCTGAATTCTGGCTCCTGTTCCTGTTTTTGTCTTGACAATTATGGAATAGTTTACAGAAGTCTCTTCTATAATACCTAGTTAAGATAAGATTTAAATACCCTTTCCTCTTAGGCTCAATTCTGAGGAATACATATATACAATTCTCTATATTATTACTTATTTCCACATGCATACTTGACAAGAATGAGTTTGGTTTCGATGATGCCGAACCCTGTGGGGGTGATATTCCAGAAACATGCAGTGTTGGTTTTTTTGTCAACATAGTTAAATACACGTAAGAATAAACAAGTGAAAGTAGAATATCCTCATCTATTTTTTGACTGGAAATATGTAACCTATAAGAAATGTCTGCTTCTCACTATTCCCTTCAGAGCTGATATTCCTCCCAATTGCACCTGTAAAATGTGGGGCCACAGTTGCATTCATTGTTCAGTGAGCTTGTCCACATAGTTAAACCCACCGACAGCAATGAATGTTGATTGTGACCTTTTTTGTAAAGCATGGCAGAGTAGGGGAGAAACCTCATGTGCTGGTTAGGTTTCTATCTTCGGTGTGAAGGCCTGAAAGCATGAAGTAAGGAGGAGGATGGTTAGCTGGAGGGTACAATCAACGGTCGATGGTTTTCACTTAAATTCCAAACTCACCGACAGCGTTGAATGTTCACTGAAGCAACCACTACAAGAGAACTCCATTGACTTCACAGCATCCTTAAATGTCTGAAAGGAGGGGGGAAAATCAAAATTGACTTGATTATTTTCATCAAACAGATAATGTAATTTCAATCATTGTTCTCTTACCAATACCAGCACCCTTCTCTGTCTTTCCCATTTCCTTCTTCGTGCACGGAGCTGGCAGCTTCCCAGATGTCTTTCTATGAAAAGAAAAGATATTTCATTTATTCAAGCTTTAAGTATATAGTTGGTCATCCAGGCAGAAGTGGATTGGTTATTGTCTGTATTATTACAAAACTGAACTTCATAGCAAACCGAAACATAAGGTTTCACCTGTGTATTAGCAGATCCTGCCAAGAATATCGTGAATCAGTGTTAGTTTATGCTGTGCCCAATAGAGTAAAAATATAAAGTAAGCAGAGTAAAATCTGCCAATATTCACCTCTTGATGAGTTTACATCAAGATTTGATGACCTAAGTTTCTTTTCATGTTTTTTTTTGTGGCTACGCACTGTTTATATCCACAACTTGCTCATTACAAAGTAAAGTGCATAACAATTTCCACAGTAGCAGAAGCTTTTTTTTCCAGCATCTGAGCTTTCCAACTAAATTGTCCTCATATTTTTGACTCTATATATACACAAATATTTTTTTACACACACACAGTATATATAGGATTACAATTTTAATGTTTCACAGGAAGAATTTCTGAGGCTGTAGCAGAAGGCACAAAATGGTAACACAGGGATTTTACCTTACTCGTGGTTGTTAGCAGTTCTCCTGCAGAAGATTGTTCTCTTGCAGCTTTGTTGGTCTGAGTTCTTTTAGTTAGGGCTGCTCTTAGATTACTGCAGTGAAACTGTGAGTGATTCACTGGCTTTTAGGGGCTGCTACTTGTTAAATTTTTTACCAGAGGACAAGCTGGTCTGGTACTCTCTCATTGCTTTCTGCACTTAAACAAAAATTTTTATAAAATGGTCTTGTAGAGAGGTAGCACCAAAAGACTTTAGGTCATAAATATGCTGCCTGAGTATATTTTCTTTTTTAAACAAATGCTGTGACAAGAACTTGGTTGCATCTGTTTCTTTCAACAAATTGCTCTTCTTGTACAGATAACTGTATTTTTATCAAATACATCTAAAGTATCTAAAGAGCAGAGGCATTAATATATCCTGCTGGAGAACTACAGAAGAACAGAATGTAAAGAATTTCTCTTTTCTGCAGGTTTTTTTATTTAGGAATTCCACTGTGATCATGAGTATCTGTGAGTTCTAGTTCCAACCAACTGTGGCATAGATGCCCTTTCCTCCCTTTTTTTGGTGCTGAATCAGCAGAAGATGTTTGCTGTTGATATTTTAGGTCTGAAGCTTGATTTTTTTATTATTTATTTGTACTGTCCCTATCACAATTCAACCCCATGGATGTAGAGAGGAAGGGAGTTCTTTATGACAGTTCTTTATAAACTCTTCAACTGAATAGTCTGTTGTACACCTGCATCTGTTCAATGTTGTTCTAGCAAAATATATATAGGGTCACTTGTGTTTCACATATTCCCTGCTATAAGCTTTCTTTCTTTATGCCATTTCTTTCAGTATTTATTCCTATGGTCTTGTTCCTTGCTTCCCTCTGTCACATCATATTTCAATATGAGGTCTGGCCAGACTGATACCTGGCAGTTAGGATGGGGTGTAAGGAAAAGAGAGGAGCTGTGTAGAGCTCGTGGCTGGATGGATTGCATCTTAAAAGGAATTGCTTTCATGGGTTGTTATTATTCCCTCCCAACCCTGTAATGGGAAAACCTCAGTATTTCTTTGGTTACCTAGCCACTGTTGAAGTGGGCTGAAACTTGTAAGTACAAAAACACAAAAAAATATTCCTGAGCTCCAGCCATCATTCATGATGTGTGCAGGTTATGCAGGGTAAAAATGCTTTCATCTTCTCTCATCTGGTTTTAATTTTAATTTTTTTTTCTAAATCCCTTACTGGGCTTAGCTAGCTATTACAAATGCCAGCTTTATTTTAAGTTTTATTTCAGATCTGCAGGCTTATGTGAACATTCAGATTGGATGTATGGTTTTTTTATTTAAGGTTAGTAGGTCATAAATAAACCAAAGCGCTTTCCTTGCTGTGAGCAATAGGGTCATGGTGTACATGAAATATCGCTTTAAAAAAAATAGGAACCTAACATGAATTGACAGAGGTACATGAGGAAGTAGTTCGTTGTGTTGCTGCAAAGGCCATAGGGATTTGGACTGCGAGAGCTGCCTGTTTTAGGAATAGATTAGATATCCTGTCTGATGACCTGTACTTAATTTAAGTGACTGCCTTTGCCAGCCCTTCCAGAGGGCAACTGTGTGAAGTAGAGCATCTCATCTTCAGTCCCTTTTCCTCTTCTTGATAGCCTGACCTAAATTGGAGATATGGGTGTCGTGCTGTACAAACAAACAATTACTTCAGTTGGTACGTGAGCTACATCTTCATTTTTAATTAGTTAGCTTTTCCATTTTGACCTTGCTATCTTGAATCAAAAGACAAATATTCATTGTAGCAGTTAATAATGGTAACAAGATTTTTTTAATGCAATATCTTCATGCTTAACAGCTGCTCTATGTAAATCAATTTACTATTTAGCTCTCTCTACCTACTAAGATGGCTGGAGTTATGAAGTACTGCTCTGCCTTGATTATTGCTCCACCTCTTCCTTTCTTGTTTCTCCCTCCCTCACATTGACTGCTTGCTGAAATAGAGCTTCCAACAGCTGTTTCAGTATTTTTAACAGTTTTACTGCTTGTCCAGCAGTGCAGTCCCTTGGAACAAGTGCTTAGTTGAACAAACAGATCTCAGTATGGGGGTTTGCTTACAATTCTAGATGATGAGACCAGTCTTTTTTTTTTTTTTTTTAACTTAGATGCTCTACGTGGTCTTACAGCGTGGTGGTTAGTTTTATTTTTTCCTTTGCAAGCATTGAATTACTACTGGAAGGTGAAGAGCTGGGATTTTTTCTGTAGTCAAAGAGTCACAGTAAAAAAGAAAAGACAACTGAAATTCAGGGTTAATATCTTACAAAGTTATCTCATGGATATAGTTCTTGGCTACTTCTACTTGCCCTCTCCCACAGCCTGTCAACAGGCTTCCAGTCATACACTTGGGAACAGGATGTAATGTGATGTGTGGATGTATTTTTAATTGTCACTGAAGTGAGTTCCAATGCAAGTGCCTAAAAATAACTCTAATGCATGTGGGATCAGACTCTCAGTTATTGTAAACTGGTGCAAGTTCACTGAAATCAGTGGCATCTGCCTTTCCACCAGCTGGCACCTGGATGCTCCTCTGGAAAAAAAAAATGAAGTAGAATGATCACTCATCAATTTTTATCATCTTTTCCTTTTTTATTTTTCCTGTTTATCTTACGCTGTTTTTAGATGCTAGATCTTCATGTTGTATCTACATTTTACCTGCAGTAAATTAACAGCAATACTAAATCTCACTGTGTATTGACAGTGCTGTGCTTCCATCAAGAGGAGGAATTAAATCCAGCTGACTGTTGTTATTAGAGATTCAATTTATTCGTGGATGTCTGAGTTATACGCTGGAAATAAAGACTCTGTACAGCCATCAAAAGGAAGGTCTTTACCTGACAAAATGAAAAGTGTTCATTTCTTCTTTGATCTTAAAAATTGCAAGAAGAGAACCCAATAACCTTTCCTGTAATATAAGACTCTAATTGTATTATACAAAAACTAACTGGAGTTGTTTCTGCAGTTGGTTGAAGTATGGCTCCTAATTATTTCTGCAGTAATGCTAAAGGCCAGCGTTTTTCAACTAGATGATCAGATGTTTTTGTATTGTGTCAACCTATGGAAACGTGGTAACGTTTTTGTAAACCTCTGCTGGAAAAAGATGTTTTGGGGAGTATTTACTGGAGTATCACCGCTTCTGGAGGAGAGTAGCAGCTGTATAATACTTCAAAGTACTCGTGCTTGCCACTCAGTCAGGAGAGAATACTGCAATTGTACATAATGGTATGGAGAAATCTAAAGTTATGCAGAATTAGCCATGTTCTTGACTAATTTTCCAGGAGAGAAAAATAGCATGGCACACAGGAAATGCTTTTTGGAGGTGAAAAAGTAATACCATGTCTATTCTTAAACCAACCCAAAACTTCTGTGACATGCATACACATCACTGTGTAATGTGCAGTTTCTTGGGTTCTCTTGTAGTTCTGCTGGCCCAGAAACCAGTACATATCCAAGTCTGCAAACTCACGTGCTTGTAGCCTTTAACTAGGTTTCTTACAAGTCTGTTCTCAAAAAATGGACTCTGCTTTTAAGGTAAAACCTGTCAAGTAATCTCATGTTTATGGGACAGTTTGAGGTGGGATGCTCATTAGCCAGGCTAGTTTAGCTACAGAGCAAATGTGAGGAGCAGTCATAATATTTGGTCAAATACTCAACTGTACTTCCAAAGATAATGTATTTAGTGTTTGAAAGAATGCTTTACTCACCAAAATTTTACCTGATTACTGTTTCATTAAATTTTGATTTTAAAAACCCCTCAAAATCAAAATTTAATGTGAAGATACTCAATGCAATGTGAGTTTTGTTGGCTTTTGCTTACAGCAAAAAATTATAACTCAATGAAAATTAATTGCTATTTTTATTTATTAGATCACAGTTGCATTCTCATGTTCTAAATGTACTTTTACATCTGAGCAATTGAACCAGAGTTTGCAATTTGAGTGAGTATTCCTTCATGTTAGTCTTGTTTGAAATGGTGTTTTTCCAACATGGAGGATTGCTGTGCTGGACCTGTTAACTTTTCTTGGCTTTAGATATAAAGCAATTGGTGAATATATTCTAATACTGCATGCCATTTTCCAGTTCTTTTGGACAACAGTTCTCCACTTTTTTTTTTGTTACTGGGATATGTTACTATTTATGGAAGATACGCACATATTTCTATGTTCATAAATCATATGCAAACATCTGTTCTTTAGATCAATAGATGGAGATTTGTAACTGCTTTTTACATTAATATCCATGAAGCAACACTCATCTACCGACATTGTGCTTAAATTTTAATATTTTAGAAAATATCTCAGTAATGTAACTTTGGATTTTTTGATATAGCAAACAGCCTGGCATAGAGTTCTGAGTGGCCTGTACCCAACAATGTCTAATAAAAGTTGTAGGAGAGATGGAGTAAATATTACGAACAGCAGATCAACTTGGCTAAAACACAAGAGGTTCTGTTAGTAAAACTCTGTACTATGTACTGCTTTTGAAGGGAATTTCTTACCCTCCCCTGTTTAAACAGGAGCCCTTCCCTTATTTGTTGAATCTTTGTTGTGTGTAGAGGCCTACATTTTTGTCTCAGTACTAAATATTTTGCATGTGATCCTGAAGACAAGATTTGAAAGGCAGTAATTGCAAAGCTGTGTTCTGAAAAAATGCAGTATATATGGAAACAAAAGGCTATGTGCAAGTTAAAATGTAAGATGTGGGAATGAAAATTGTGTATGATAGGATGTGTGCTGGCTGTGAATTTAAAATAGTTTTCATTTTCTCATTTTGAAATCTCAATATTTATATATAAGTACAAAAATTTTCAGAATTAATTCCATTCAGCCTTGATTAGAATCCCAGAATCCTAGAATTGCTCAGGTTGGGAAAGACCTTAAAGACTATCAGGTCCAACAGCAACCTAACCATACTACCTGAACTCTAACAACCCTCTGCTAAACCATGTCCCTGAGCACAACATTCCTTATTTCAAGGAAGGATTTAGATGTAGGTAGCAAAACTGATTGGCTGCTTTTCACTGTCTGCTTCATTGTGTTTCCTTTATGGGAAGGGAGAGTTGATATTTTGATCCTGAGTTAATAAGTATTGGCAATGGCAACTGGGTTTTCATAGGATGAAATTCTGTCTAAAAGCAGGAAAATAGTTTGTATTACTAAAAGTATTGATTTAAGTCCTATTGCAAGTTGCCTTGGTCTTTGCCTGCTTCTCCTCCTGATTTCTAAAGGAGGAGGAAAAAATCAAACCCCAACCTTTATCAAAACAGCAACAGCAAAAAAGGAAAACCTGCTTCAGTGCAGATGATGTGATTTACATCTTAAGTTTTCTAGTCTATTTCTGTACAGTATTACCTTTTAGGTTCTTCACAGTGATTATGACATACATATACTCAGAAAAACATGACTGAGGCTTTAAAAACAGTTTTTGTGCTTTTAAAATAGAAAAAATTCATCAGTTTTCATTTTCTTTGGAGGCAGGTGCTGCTTTTGTGAGAGTTAGCTTTGGGATTCTCCTTATGCCTGTACTTAACACAGCCAGAACAAAGTGCAGTTGCAACTGGCTTTAAATATCCCATCCCCCTTTTTTTTTTTTTTTGAGTCACTATAGGAATGGACTGTCAGAATTACCGAATTCAAATAATTATGGTCCTGCTGCACAAAGTTTCTTTTGATCAAGAACAAGTCATTTGAACCTTAACATTTAGTGGGTAATACTTAGAGCCTCATAAAAGTGTAGTGATGGCTGATATCTCATAGTGCTTTGAACATGTGAAGTGCTATATAAACAGTATAGGGCTATTGCACACAACTTGAGCTATTAGCATTTGAGGCAAACTGCCCCAGGCCCTTAGAGCAGGAATTGTGTCCTCACTGCAAGAGAGGCACCTTTTTAGGTTCTGTGTCTCTGCTTTGTTTAAATATCAGGAACTTCTTACGTAGCATGTAGATATGGAAAATATATACGTGTACACATGCGTTCAAATGCTGTGTTTATCACACGGTACTAGCAAAAGGCAGAAGATATTCAGTTAGAATTGTTATTCTGCAAATGTAAGGATGGCAAATCGCTGCCTGATGACAGTATCTGCTTTGCTGTAATTATGTTTTGGGATTTTTGTGGGTTTTTTCCTTTGCAAAATTTCTATATGCCAAGGTATTTATTGCTGACAAACTTGGTATTTTCCACATATACCTTAAAATGAGGTTGTGCTTCAAATTCATCCTTGAAAATACCAGCATGCTTCACAAAGGTTAAACCACAAATTCAAGGCTATGTTGAAAACTTCGTGGGCGTCTGTGTATAAATGCTGGTGAAATAAAATTCTTAAGGCATGAACTTAAGAAAATAGAGGGGCATTTGCTAAACAGGCAACGTAACATCCATCTATGAGAGGGACATACTGCTCAGTTTGGAACAAAGTTTCCTTAGGATACTTGGAATCGCTGGTTTTGCTTTGTTTTGACTGTCCATTGCATGTTCTGTGTGCTTTGATAAATAAAGGCTGTTGTTTAGGATGCAAAAGATACGCCTGTCTTGCAGTCACTTCAGCGTGCATCCTGGGGCAGTAGAAAGACTCGTGGCTATCTTCAGGGAGAAGAGGAAATGCCTTGAAGTCTTTTTATGCAAGTCATTGCTGCAGTTTAGAACAGCACAACAGTTTCTGGCTCATAGCATAATATGCTTTTTGCCTTCTGGTAGTGCAACAGCAGAGACCCTTTCTAAAGAAGTGCTTTTTCTACTTTTATTATTATTTTTTACAGTCTTGAGCTTAGGCTTTTAGGCATGTTAAGTGATCTAAACAAGCTTTGGGTTTTTGTTACACAAGTTATGGATTTGTGTTACTGTTATCTAGGAAAAACCATTCAAATCAAACATGCTATTGACTAAACCCCACAAAGCTCTGAATACAGCATAAGCTCAGACTTGGAAGGACTGGGCACACAGCTGAAATGCTTAGCGTAGCAAAAACCATTGCAGTACAATTACTTGTACTAGATCCAATGATTTACAGCATGGGTGAAGAGTAATCCTACATGTTCATGAAGTTAATGCCTAGTTCATTGACTGTTGTTTTCCTATATATAAAGACCAACACATAAAACACTTGTTTTCTGCTCTGGCAATTGTGTTTTTAAGTATAAACAAAGCCCACAACAAAAATTACAGAATTGCAGGAACTCTTATAAAAGCTTTATCTATTTTGTTGAAAATTGGTACACTTGCAGTATTTTTAATTTGCCTGTACTTTTGTGGCTGTCCCAGCATCCTCATCCTTGTCCCTGTTCAGTTCAGCTGCCTTTTGAAAATCACTTTGTGCTCCAATGACCGCTTTAAACTTTCTATTGACAAAATTAAACTGGACTCTTATTTTTCCAACAGAAAGTGCAAGTTGAAAGTGGTCATTGGCCCAAAAACCTATGGTGAGAGCAAAGATGATTTTATTAGGAAGGGAAAGCGATGTTTAATCTCTTCTCTGTCCTTCAGGCCCTTTTTTTGTGCTAATTTCTCCCCTTTCCTAGACTCCCAGGAAATGCAGTTTCTACACACTTTCCTGTAGTTTCCTCCTTCCAGCCCCACAGCAGTGAGGTTTCCCTCTTTGTAGTTATCTGCTGCAGGAAGAAAGACTAAGCCAGGAGGAGGCGGAGAAAAAAAGCCAAGTTCTGGGAACTTGACTGAAACTGATTCATGAATCAAAATTCTGTCTATTAAAACTGTGGGAGATGGACTAGAAGCCTGGCAATAAAGTAAATGACAGAATCGGATGAAGGAAAATATGTATAGCTAAAGGATGTGGGGATTATTAAAACATTCCCTTTGCTTCACATGTTCTTCTGTGTGCTTTAAAAATTCATGTAAACACACAACACAAGCTGTAGAATGTGATGGGAGAAAAGAGGATTTCTCTTTCTTTTGGAGATCTAAGGCTATCAGATTTATACATCTGTAACATCCAAAAGGCCCAAACATAATAAAAATGTATTTCCACAAAACTGAGTCTTGCTCTTTTCCTGTTCTGAGTATATTTAAATAGCTGGACTATACTGGTCAGTAGTATGTCAAAAAAGATTCCAACGCAGGCAGTGCCTTTACTGAGAGCACTAGGTTTAGAGATCAGCCTCTGTAACCACTAACAATAACAAAACCATTATCTATACAACCATAGGTGATGCTGGCTGTTCTGAAAGAGTGTGGGGGTTTCTGTTGTTAATGATCTCTTTGTTTTGTTTGTTCTGTTTTGTTTTTTTTTTGTTCTTAACATCTTTACCTCATGGTATTTCTGAAATCCTTCTAATGGCATCTGGGGAGTTTCATTGAAATTACTATGCAGTGTAAAGGTGTTCTATTTGTATTTTTCTATGGGAAAACTCAGGATGAGATTCCATTCAGTGGGAGGGCTCCATTGCTTAAATCCTATGTAAACTCTGTCTGAACACCTAATGCAGAGTCATTATGCTGGCTTTTAGCAGATACAGTGAATTTCATTCTTAGTGAATGACCCAGGTGCTAAAAGCTATGGCTGAAAGTGCTAGGTTAAAAGCACAAGTCAGCTAGGTACATAAATATTACATGGCTACATCTTTAATGGGTTCCTGTTGTAGACATGCTTTGTTTTAAAGATTTCCATAACCCTGCTGATTTATTGCGTCTTCTCTAGAAGTATGCTGTTAGCAGGAAACTCGGTTGAAGCACTTTCAATCATGTTGGAGGATCATTATACTTTCACTTGAATAACTAATTAGTTGCAAGAAATTAACCACTGTTGTTTAGCACAAAAACACTTCCAAAAAGGACTTTCATTTTTGTTAGGGAAAATGACCTTAGGCACTTGAGGAGGGGGCAGAAAGGAGAAAGAATGATCTGGCTGTCTTTTAATATAACTTTTGTTTTCAATTCAACCTGGCAACAAGCATGCAGCGTAACATGGTGCCTTATTCAGACAGCTTAGACTTGGGGCAAGCACATTTTAATCTTGCCTGTCACACGAATCTCAAGGCTGACCTCATCCCATTGATTGAAACTGGTTTAAGGTTCCACACACCATCCCTTAAGGCTATGTAAGAGAGGATACAAGAAATGAATTACTGAATGGGATGGAAGAAAGAATATAATATGACCAAAGAAAGCATATAACCAGTCTGTTCATGTCACTGGATCTCATTTATCTTGTGAAATGTGGATCATGCTTAACTGCCATATGAAGGTCTAGGCTGTATCTTACATAAGAGTTGAGTATTATTGTCACGTGTTTGCTGTTCATAGCATCACTAATGTAAGATATAATGAAGGAACGAATGAGAACTAGCAGTAGTTAAAACACTTAGTGATTTGCCACACTTTGGGGGCAAAAACTGCAAGGAAATTTAGGAAAAATGTCTTCTGAGATCTATTTTCTTCCCAAATGTATGAAAACACTTCAACAAGAGAATAAATAAGCTAACTTGATCATATTTTTTTCCCTCTGGAGCTTGCATTTCATTCAAACTATTTGAGAAAAACATATATACACAAAAATTTGTAAAACATAAAATAGAAACTGAAATTATTGTGCTTGTACAAGTTAGTCCTGTTCTTTCAGTGTTTTCCTTCCTCTGTGCAGAGGCAGTGAATTTCTCAGATATTTGGAGAGGGGGAAGTATCCTTCAGAAATGTAAGGGCCAAGGCAAGTTGAAGCTTAGTGGCCTTTCTTGCCTTTCTTGCTCTTCTATATGCCTATGCTTGCAAGATTAGAAAATTGTTTTCAGTATACATCTTTAGTGTACCTGAGATGTAATTATACAGAAATGCTGGAAATTATTCAGTGTAAAAGGAGTCACTGTGCTATTGCAGTAATGACAAACTCCTGCTGAATTAAAGAAAAAAAAAAAGGGTAGCATAGCATTACCACATTCCTATAATAGCTTTGCTTTTTCCCTCTCCTGTTCTTTGCCTTCCTTCCAGTGCTTACTCTCCAACATGTATCTTAAATGGTGTATCTGAGAGTTAGGAACAGAATCTTAGTAAGGTGTTTACAATTATATTAGATTGCCTACATAGTGTAAGAGTCTTCTGATAATATTTATATGAATCCATTTCTTGTTGGGTGTGTGTTTTTCTTTTTTTTTTTCCTCCTCACTAGATGAGATTTGGATTTTATTGGCATGTGGTAACAGCAGAAACAGGAAGGCCATGGCTGAGTATTTTTTGGGGGGGAAAGCCTGCATGTGTGCTTATCAAGGATACTAAGCTTATGTGGAGTAAAACAACAGAGCTGCCCTCTAAAAAGAGGACATGAGCAATGCCATCACATCCTCAGTCAAATGCATGACAGCGACTTCTTTTTGAGAAGTTACAGAGCAAATGGCTTCAAGCTGGACAAGCTGCCCCTAAAACAGAAACATAGGAGGCCAAGAGCTTGTGTGTGTTTGCACACATGCAAGCTGCTTTGCTTCAGGATACTTGTATGAGAGCTTGCTAGGGGGGGAAAGAAAAGAGAGAGAAGGGTTAGAGAAAGCACTTTCACTAACATTTGCTGTCTTGAACAGTTTCAAACTCGGATTTTGACTTCTGCTTGCTGTTCAGATTGGGATCTTGAACCTCATTTCCCTTTGGGTTCTCTCATTCATGTCACACACACTCTGTGGCATCACTGTCCCTGTGCAGTGAAAATATATTGTCCTTCATAGCCTTGTATAATCAAAAGAGGTGGAGACTAAGTAGTCTAGAAAGAATTAAATATCTAGCAAATATGACAAAGGAAAACCTTGAAACAGAGTTAAAACACATAGCTATGTGGGCAGCTATGCCTCCCTAGCATTCAAACTTCAGTTACTGGATGAAATCACAAAATGTGAAAGCTGATCATGAATGAAGGAAGCAACAGCAGAAAATGAGTCAGTACAGACTGAGTATGCCATGCCAATATCTTGGGGGATAAGCAGAGAAATAATCCACCTCAAGTAACATAGGAACAACCATTACAGTTTCGTTCCGTTTGTTCCATTAGGAAACTTGTTTGTATTATTTTTGGGTAACTAATTTTCTGTAGTTGTGTGTACACATGATTGAAAAGATGAAGTAAATGAGAAAGTGGGTTTGATTGGGCACATCTGTGGTCTGAGAAATCTCACCTAGGTTGGGCCTATGCTGCAGGATTAGCTCTAAAAGTGCATTTCAGGTGCTTGGTTATGACAGACAAATGGGAAGAATTTCACTGCATGGACTAAAAAATCTCAGTTGCGAGAAGTGTGCTTCTGATGGACCATTTGATGTGGTCCAGTATGGTGTATTTATTTTTTTTACAAGCCTCTTCCCTTTAAGGATGTCAACCAATTTAGTTTGTCTTCTTGCATGGTTTCTCAAAGTGCAAGTCTGTAACCATGTCCTTGTGTGTGCATAAATATATTTCTGCCAAACTTTAGAGTGCAAGAGTATTCAGTGTGTGCATCTCACCACTTAGTTCCATTTTGACATTTGGCGGTAAAACAAGGCTGCTTTTCTCAAATGATCAGCAAATTTCCACACAGACTTGGTGGGTGATTAGTTGTGGTTTCTGTAGTTTGAAATTCCTAAGTATAGTGAAAGACTAAATGTGCTATCTGTATGGTTATAAAGACTTGCTAGAGCTTTATAATTCTGAGAGAAAATAGGGATAATTCTACTGATTAAAAAACATTCTGTACCTTGCAGATTATGCTGTCTTGTGAAAATTAAGAACTAACAATTTATATTGCATTATGGCTTTCTTGTGCCTAAAAAAGTTTGATATATACTTTATAAAGGTATTTTCACAGATGTGTAGTCAGAAGATGAACTATGCCCTTTGTCTGCATTCTTTTTGCTTTGGCATTCTGCCCAGTATTTAAACCCTGCTCCCACCATTTTCTGTATATATATACATATATATGTATTTTATATAGAGATGGAAGTAAGTTTGGGGCTTACATCCTAGTTGTTCTCATTCATTTTTTGTGCTCGTTTTGAGTCTATGTATAACACTGATATTAACTATTCAATCAGCATCTTTGAACAGAGGCTGCCAGATTCCTGATGCAGAGAAGCTAAATGGTGCCAGGAATCATTCACTCTGTGCTAAATATTGCTGCTGGCTCCTCTCTCTGTCTCTCAGAATCTGTGGATGTCTAATCCTCTGCTCTTCACTGTAAAGATGGCAGGATTTAAAAGAAAAAAAAAAAGCTGTCTGAATTTGCTGTTATGTAACAAACATCTCGCCATCCTGCGTGGTTAAAGAGTTGAACTGGACTGAAATGGTATCAAGGTCTTATTTAATTTCCTTTGGTATTTTATACTGTATGCGATGTCTTTATGCTCACATACCGTGGTACTTGACGTTCAGTTCTTCACTTGCCAAGACTTGTGTTTAGTGAATTTGGAAATTCTATTTTAAACAAGAAGCATTTTGCTGCCAATCAAGTCTAAATAGCAACACCAAACTGCTTTGCACATGTAACACACCACCAACCAGCAGAATATCTATGAAGCCGTTCAGCTGCACCCTGCTTCTACCACAGAGATGATATCTATGCAGAGTTGGCACACTGAAAACTAAAATGGTGCGATACTAAAAACGAAGCTCAGAACAAGTAATGCAAGTGTGCCAACAAATCTCTACAACCATGAATGCCTCTTTAGTGCATTTCTGGTTTCTAGAGGATCTTTGGATCTTTAAAAGAAATTCGGATAAATATGATTGTGTAAGAACAGAGTAAGTTTTCCAGTCACGCTTATAAGTAAGCAAGCTATTTACAGTAGTCATTTAAAACCACCATTAAAAAATGAGCATAATGAAACCTTATCAAGCTGCATTATATTCTTAAAATATATGCCCAGCTAGCTTAAGTGCTAGCCCAGACTACCTAAATTAAACAACTGTCCTCAAAAGCCTTATTCAGAATTTATTTCATCAGGGAGTTGCCCAAAGGCCTGGTTGCCAGAACATCTGTCAAATGAGTTTCCCAGTGCCTGGGTCAGATTGGTGCTGGCCTCACTTCAGTACTCCTTGCACAGCTGGTTGCAGGCACCTGCAGCTCTCTGCCCTGGCAATTCTCCTGCTGCAAGCTGCTTGGCATTGGAGCAAATGCCCAAGACAAGAGAGGCTGGTGGCTGTTACTGTGCTGTAGCTGGACATACTCTTTGCTGCCAGCTGAATACTCGATTGCTCTTTGCAAAGTGCAGAAACCTATGGAGAAATATTTGAGAGTATTCCTTGCGCTGGCATACCAGGTAGTGGATATGGAGTAGATTTGGTTTCAAAATCTCATCAGTACACTTGGAATTTGAATTCAGGTCCTCCATGCCTTGGCTATGAAAGCTGTTTCTTCAGAGGAAAGCCACAGAAACTGCTTATTCCTTTGCCAGTTGAGAGAAAAGTTAGTGAGTTTCTCCTAATGGTAGAAGGCAGCAACACTAAATCCAAACCTTTGTGGCTGCAGTTCTATACCTCTTTGATTCTCATTCCCCTGGTGAATTTAAGAGCTCTTTCAAATCTGCTGGTTTCTGACAGTCCTCTTATGTGCACAGTTCTCTATGCAATATACATTGCTGTCTAGATATAAATCTCAATGGTTATGTTGAATATAGATGCTTGGAAGGTAATTCCAATGTTTGGTAATTTTTGTGACTTCAGTCTTTGTTGCACTAATATGTCTTCAAGACTTTATTTTGTTTTCTCCTCTCTATAATGAAAAAGATGTAATGATTGTGAGTTTGATTAAGCTGACTCGTCTTATTCTTTGCTGGCTGTTCTGCTTTCCTCTTAGCATAATTTGATGTTCCTTATGCTGAAGTGACAGCTCCTGGTGATGTGTTACAGTACAGCCAAGAAATCTGTACATACGATGCATCTTCTGCTGGCTAGTTTTCCAGGAAGAGATTTAGCAGGTAAATCAGAACTGAAAAGTCTGTTTCTGTTATTAAAGAATGTAGCTTCATCTGCAAATTCTAGGCACCTAATTTAGAAAAATAGATTAATGCAAGTGACTTTGCTAGCTGAAAATGTTAATATCTGAATTTGAGGGTTTAAGAAGGGCTTTTAGTATGTAAATTAGCTTTTAGCTAAGCCACACTGAAAGCAAACTGGAGAAGTTAAAATATTTTTTATATGGAACTTCTGGTTTTTATTTCTGCTGATCATTCTGCCAGCAAGTAGTTGGCCTGGATGAAGAGAGCATGCTGTCTTACAAGATCTTCAGAGTAAAATTGATGGGAAACAGCTCTGGTATAAATTACTTGTTTTAAAATTTTTAATATGGAGAATTACTAGTGTAGGACTGGTTTTCTCTTAAGCCTTGCTGATCTACAAAGTTGAACCTTAAGTATTGTGTAGTTTTCTTCTCTTCTGAGTATATCAAATATAGTCTACCTTAAAAAGGGTTTTTCCTTTTTACCAAAGAATTCTTAATAGGCTTCAGAAGGAATTAACTGTGTTTTGAGCTTCCTTATCTTTGTTCACCTCCTTGAATACATTATAAATCTATTACTGAAATTTTATGCTAATATTTCTTGGACTTGTTTGCTCCTTCTTAAGGTCAGGTAATCAAAAACAGTCCGCATCTTTCTTGATGCCGTTGGGGATTCTTGGAAAAACTGGTTATAAAAAAGTGTAATGGTATGAATCTTGATGACTCGTTTGATTTCTCATTCATTATATTGAGACAGTGAGAGTGAACAAATTCTGGTTATGTAAAATGAGACAATCATGGAAAACATGCCTATTCTTGTGAGAGGTGTGCTGTGCAATAGCTTATGAAGTGCGGTTGAGGAGCTGTTATGACTAAGATGGATGCTGCCTGGTGCAGGCCTGGTAGGGAAGATTCAGATTGCTGTGTTTTTTCATCCCTCCACCTTCCCTGCATCTTGTCCCATCACTGCAGCACTGTTCTATGTTATCTCCCAAGGGAATAGTGGGATTCCTCCACTGTTCAGTGGGGGCATATTGGTTGGAAACAAAAGCATGCCTTCAGTTGTACTTTAATGATAAAACTCAAATATGTTGCAAAAATGTAGTGCAAGAAGATAAAATGTGTCTCTATTTCTTTCATATCAGATGTAGAAACTTGATCATGAAACTTGATAATGTTTTAACTGCTAGGGATGTGATTAAAAATGTGTGTCAAAATCTGCAGTTTAAAAAGTGGTTTCTGGACAAGCTCAGCAAATCACACATTATGCTAATTCATTTATACTATAGATAGTATCAGTGGGAAATCACCTGATTATAAAAGTAATTATTAAATTTATATGGAAACTCTAATGTGTTATCTTAAATTTCATTCTCATTTGTTTAATTTTCATAACATAAAATCTACAACAGCATTTTAAAATCACGAAGGTGGTATCCCTGATACAAGCTTCTCTATTGTCCTATGAATTTGATTATTAGAAGTGAAAAGCCCAGAGCTGACTTCTTGTTTGTATTTCATTGTCCCATTCAGTTCCATCATATGCAAGAATGTAGCTGCTTAATACTTGAAAAGAAACGGTTAAAATAGGTATGGCTGGATTTTTGAATGTATGAGGGCTGCTCTGAAAGTAATGCCTCCTATCTCATTATGTTGGCCCATGACAGCAGAGGTGGATGTTGATGGTAATAAAGGAGAAGTTGAACCTTCCCACCAACATTTCCCAACATTTTGTTGCTGTGTGACAGACAGCAGCAGAGGGGCAGTCTGACAAAGGCATCTGCCATAGAAGTGCATATGAAACTAAGGTGTTATTGAATTCCTCCAAGTGGGAAAAATTGCCTTCATTTACATTCGTCGATGATTACTGAATGCTTATGGAGACAAAGCAGTGGATGTGAGTACAGTGTGAGGCCGTGGGTGGTGTGTTTCAGCAGTGGCAATGGCAGTGTGAAAGACAAGCCATGTTCTGGATGATCAGAATGCACAGCCATCATTCATACAATGAAATGAAGAACATCTCGATCAGTTCATCTGGGTGAATCGGTGGATTAGGAGTGGGGATCTGGGTACGAGCTTCAGAGTATTGGAAATGATGGTGTTGAAATATTGGAACATTTGTGCCAGATGGGTGCCACGAATGCTCACGCAACAGCAGAAAGAACACTGTGCAAAATTTTCAGGACCTACTGAACCAAAGTGAGGCTGAAGATGACAGTTTTCTGGGTCACACCATTACCAGTGATGAGACTTGATGTTACCTCTATGAGCTGAGGTTAAAATGGCAGTCCATGGAGTGGACATTGAAATTCCCCATTGAAGAAAATGTGCAAGATATTATAAGCCCTCAGTGGGTAAAGTGATGTGCCTGTATTTTGGGATAGGAAAGGGATGGTCATTCTGCGTTTTCTGTAACCCGGCTAAACCATCAGTGCTGACTGCTACATCATAATGAGGGCTTGAACTTCATGTGTCAGGCTGGAGAAGACAACCTTCCTCTTGCAATTCAATCCCACCAGGCCCTATACCAATTTGAAGACAATGGAGCAATGGAGAGCATTGTCAATCTTGTCTGCACTGTCCTACCACACCCACAGTACAGTCTGAATGGATTTGTACCTTCTGAATTCTGTCTGTTCCGGACAGTGAAAGATGGACTGTGTGGGTGTTTTCCTAGCAATGATGTCATAGCAGCTGTGAAACAGTGCAACACTTCTGCTGGTGCCGATTTTTACAACTGGAGCATTCAGGCTCTTATTCATCACTGGCAAAAATGCAAAGCTAATGGTGGAGACTGTGTTAAAAAATGGTGTTTAGTAGCTGAGACTTTGCTCTATTAGACAGTTAACTATGCTCTTTGTATCTCCTGTAGTTTCCATAGAATTAAGTAGGAGGCGTTACTTTCAGAGTGAACTGTGTACGTAGTCAAACATCTTGCTAGTTTTTAAGAAGGGATACAGAGGGTGCAGATCATTCTCATTTGGTTTTGTTTTGTATTTAAATGCAGTCTTCTCCCTGTTTTTGTGCCACAGTTATGTCTGTTTCTGCTGACGATGAAAACAGAAGCACATCAGTAAGATAAAATTGGACCAGACATTAGGAGGATATAGGAGAAAATATTCTATGTTCATTCAGTAACTTCTCTCTTCTTACACATGAAATGTAAATTATGGGCATATGGTGGTCAAGTATGAATTAAATGTGTCATGTAATACCATGGCTTTTACAGCAGGTCAGGTGTCTGAAGAGAATACCTTGTATTTTTACTGTTACTTGAATGGTAAATCCCTCTTGAACTAAAGGAGCTGAACACCAAGTGAAAGATCTCTCCATTCTTGGCAATTTTTAAAATTTGGTTAGATGAGATGCCAGCATGGGGAGATATCAGATTTTGCACTGGTTTAAGCAGGACAGTGGACTAGCGGAGGGACTGGGGTTCTTTCCAATCTCAATTCAGGAATGTCTAATCTCAGCCACGCTGAGTATGCTTCAGTAAGGCTTCATGGAACTTAGTCAGAAGCACTTGTCAGTAAAAAATATTTCAGACAGTCCAAGACTTTAAAAAGTAGATCTACTTCTATGTTTTTCTGTCAGCTGCTTGAGAGCTTTTGTTTAAGGAAAAAAGAAATGTGGTCTGACATCTTCATGGGTCTGCATAACTTTTTGCAGCACCTGTAATGCGTTTCATTTTGAGAAGGGCAGGGGGAGTTTTATTTTGCTTTTATATTCTTTGTGCAATTGTAATCTTTGGATGAAGTTTAAAACGGAGTGCAAAGGAAGAGTAGAAGACATAAAATTGTAGGGGAAAAATAGTAGAATAAAACTAGCAAGGTCAGTTGTAAAGTATCAAATACTGCTTTCCTTTGTAATGGAACAATTTCAAAGCTCTGGAGGGGTGGGAGGGAAAGAAGAAAGTATGCTGCTCCCTCACTCCCCATGGTAAAAAATGTAAAAGCTCAACAGATCTGTGGAATATATTCAGTTGCTGTAGGTAATACTGGTAAGTTGGCTACGTGCTCAAAAACCTGAATGGATTCCTGATACTTAGCTCTTCTGAGTTGAAACTATACATTCAATAAGCAAAAAATCATTTGCATAAGGCATTAGAAATATGTTAATAAAAAATATTGTTCAGCTGTTTTTTAATAACCTTTTTTTATTTCTTAGTATAAATAATTCAAAACACAACTTTGAGTTTTGAATGGTTGAGCTGATGAATAGCACATATGTGGAATGGCAGAAAATAGGAAACATTATGAAATTTAGAAAATTCATAAATAATCTCTTTCATGTTGAATGGAGCTGGCTGTTTTGAAGGCTACCAGCAGGACACCCCGCCCCCCCAAAAAATGTGTATATGTTTTGTGACATTGAAACTGCTTTCTTTTAGCTTTTGAGAAGAAAAAGCTTTAAACAGTGGGCCGAAGTTGCATTCAGTATGCAGCTTTGTTCATGACTTCATATGAGCTATTTTACCTTTTCAGGATCATTTAGGTAAAGCTCAAATTCTGTCACAGAACAGTTTAGAAATGAAATATATTTGTGTTAAAGATGCTTTCATAGTGCTCTTGCATAACACTATTTGTTGCAGCAAATAACTACACGTGTGCAGGCCAATACTTGCCTCTAAAAAATAGTGTTCCAGTAAATCTGGAATATATATTGAAACCACACACTAAAAACACTTGATCAGGCATTTAGTTTAGAAGTTAGTGTAATGTGCTTCAATTAAACTGACTCTGTAAAAATACCCTAGATTTGCAGTTTAAATTCTCCACAAATGGTTTTTCATCTAGCCTGGTATTATTTGTACCTCTAAAAATTTCATGAGTGTAAATGGGAGTCTAGATTATGTGATGAACAAAGTATTGCAGTTGTCTGAGTACAAAATTTCAGTGGAGTCTAAAGATAAAATCGTCTCTCGTATCCATTTTTTGGCAGAGAGAGTGATTGATGAGAAGTACAGTATATGAAAGAACAGTTAAAACAGACGCACTGACATTATAATAGTGTCTCATCAGATGATGTGTTGTTTTGACTACATGGCTGCAGTGGGTCTATAATTTAAATGCCATGAATGGCACAAAAAGCAATAGCATGGAGACAGGAATACTGTAAAATCTCTGGGTCTGTACTTAGAATGCTGATAAAATAACCCTTTGAACTTGTGGTGCCAAACGTTGTCCCAAGTTACCATTTTTTCCATGGGGAAAGCAGTCTTTGTTGCTGTGGAGTTTTATTTCTTCCCTTCCTCTTAACAGACAGACATTCCTGTTTAGATTGCTTGGCTTGCATTGCTACGAAAATCCCAGGCAAAGGGAGGCTGCTTGCATTTTGCCTAACCCATGTCCAGTTCACACATTCAGTACAGAATTCTCTATTGTGAGTAGTCATGACTATGTTTTCTTTGTGCTGTTGGCTTTTGAATGTGCTTCTTTATACTTTCACTGAAGTAGCACACAGAACTAATTTCACCAGAAGCTATTGGTGTTGAGCTGTAACAGAGTTGCACAGAGTCCTGTGACTGCATCCCAGCTATAATATTCCATTTGTTTCCACTCTGCTGTTGTGAAGTCTGCAGCCTTTTAGATTTGTTGTCCTTCCCCATCTCTCCTTTTTTTCTTTTTTTCAACTTCCATTTTAGATTATAACCAACTTTGTTTTGGTTATTGGAATCAATTGTGAGTAAGCACGTTTCTGTACCCTCACAGCAGCCAGACATTTAATGCACCTTAGTGTAATGTATGCTGTAATTGTTTGCCAGATTGGACAGAGTCTTTCCAGATACAATTCTTGATCTTTGAGGACCTTGCAAAATGTATACAATATGTTAATTGTGAAGCATTTTGTAGTATGTATTTCAGAAGAGAAGAAATGCTCTGAAAGTAGAACTTGTTTTAAGTACTCAATTTCTAACAGGACACATTATTTCATTATACTGCTAGAATGCAAACAAAAGAATGAAGCCTTTGTAAATTGCATTTTTTCATTTAGACTGGTTCATTGTAGACAAGTCTGGTATTATACAAGGTATGTTAGCTGTTTCCAATTTAGCCTAAGTGCATGGACTCTTAAAATATTCACACAGGGCTAACAAATTTAAAATCCACTTAGTTCTGTGAATAAATCAAAAGTAGTAATATTTGGTATATGCTAAAGACATAGCTAAGTAGTTGCTTTTTTTTTTTTTAAAAAAAAAAGACTGTTTTCTGAAACAAGCTTCAAATTCCGAGAGTGGTAAATAAATGCACACATGTATGCCTTTTTCTTCTCGCTCAAAAAAAAAAAAAAACATACCTAAAATTCAATGCCTATTTCTCTGCTAGAAAAATAATGAAATTTATCTATTTTATACAGAAGTAAATAAAAGTGAAGAAGATAAAGCTATTGCATTGATTTAGGAATCTTGGGGTTTAGCAGAAGTTACTTATTGAAATTTGTCTTCATCTGTTATTTGTCATCTGGGGTCTCCTCTTCTAACTATTAGAAATCTGCAATAATCAAAATAGTTTTCTGTACATCTATATAGCTACTCAGGATCTTTCAAAATCCGTTAATAGGATGTGCAGAAAGAAATCTGACTGCTTTGGTTTTGGAAGGAAGTCTGATCACAACAGTCAAAAAAATACACAAAGGTACAGTGGCCAAGTGAAAGCAGCTGTGATTTTTCCCTTCT